TTTCATAAAGGCAGCCCTTCCCCAATCATACTTGAATTTTGTGTTAGTGTTGAAGAGATTACTATGGAACTTACTACTTATATACCTAGGAGTTGCTACTTACATACCTAGGAAGGTAGTTTTCTCTGTGGCCATTATCATAGTAAATAAAGGAGGGGAAATCCTGCAATTTAGATTCATAGAGATTCACAGAATGGTTAAGGTTAGCAGGGACCTGTAGAGATCATCTAGTCCAAACCCTCTGTACACGCAGGGATACCTAGAGCACGGGGCACAGGGCGGCATCCAGGCAGGTTTGGAAGATCTCCAGAGAAGGAGACTCCACAAACTCCCTGGGCAGCCTGTKCCAGTGCTTTGTCACCCTCACAGTGAAGTTCTTTCTCACATGCAGATAGAACTTCCTATGTTTCTTCCACACGATGTATGTTCTCTTTTTCTCATTAAGTTTACCCATTAGCTCCTTGTCCATCCATACAGGTCTCCTGCCCCCCATTACTCAACTTCTTTCTTGTAGGAATGCACTGATCCTGAGCTTGGAGAAAGTGGTGCTTGAGTATTAGCTGAACCACCTTCCCTTCTAGGACCCTAACCCAGGGGACTGCTCCATGATGCTCCCTGAAGAGCTCAAAGTTGGCTTTCTTGAAGTCCAGGGCTGCAATCCTAATTCTTGCCCAGCTTCCTCCACGCAGGATTATGAATTCCAGTTATCTCATGATCATTGCAGCCAGGACTGCCTCCAACCCTCACATTTCCAACTAGATTATCTATGTTTGTTAATATCAGGTCTAGCAGTGCCCCTTCCCTGGTTGGCTCATCAACCGCCTGCATCAAGAAGTTATGTGCAACATTCTGCAGGAACCTCCTGGACTGTCTGTTCCTGGCTGTATAGATATCCCAGCAGGTATCAGGGTGGTTAAAGTSCCCCATGAGGACCATGGCCTGTAATCAGGAGGCTTCTCGTAGCTGCCTCTAGAAGGCCTCATCCACTTCCTCTTCCTGGTTAGGAGGCCTTTATTAAACTCCCATGATTGTGTTGCTYYTGTTGGCCTGCCCTTTAATCCTCACCCACAGGSTCTTGACCTGTGCTCAGTCCTCTCCTATACTGAGCTCCATATATTCCAGTTGCTCTCTTACRTGAAGAACAACTCCGCCACCTAGCCTTCCTGGCCTGTCCTTCCTGAAAAGCCTGTAGCCCTCCATGGCCACATTCCWGTCATGAGAGCTGTCCCACCATGTCTCAGTAATTGCAATGAGATCATGGTCCTGCAACTGCACACAAATCTCCAATTCCCCATGTTTATTCCTCATGCCGTGTGTGTTTACATAGAGGCATTTGAGTTGGGCTCCCAGTGTGCCTCTTATTCTTGTCGGGGCAGCTGCAACCTGACCATGTGGGCTTCCAGAAGTTCTCATATTTTGCCATTTGGCCTCTTCAGTCTCAGAGCGTCCCTCACAGGCTATGGCATTAGGCTGCTGTGAGTGGCATSACAGGCCATCAGCTACCATCTCATCTGCTGCCTCATTGATATCCCCCTCCTCCCTCAAATCTAGTTTAAAGCCCTCTCGATGAKCTCTGCTAGCTCATGACCCAGCGCTCTCTTCCCTCTTTTGAGAAAGATGGATCCCATTGGATACCATCATGCTGGGTGCCACRTAAGTCTCCCTGTTACCGAATAAACCAAAGTTGTGGTGATGACACCAGCTATGGAGCCATGTGTTGAAGGACAGTACCCTGCTATTCCTTTCTATATTGCTGGCAGTGCTGGGAAGAACAGAACAGAAAGTGACCTGCGCGCCTGAATTTCTGATCATCCAGTCCAATTCTTTAAWGTCCATTTTGATTGCCCTCAGGATACGCATTGCTGCTTCCTCTCCTCCCGCATGTAGGACCATCAATGGATAATAAATAGTCTGTGGGTCAAACCAGACTGGGAAGTTGCTTGGTGACATCCATAATCCGGGCCCCATGAAGGCAACAGACTTCTCTTAAGGAAGGGTCAGGTTTAGTTATCGGACCCTCTGTTCCCTGAATCAGACAATCTCCCACGATGATAACCCCCCTTTTCWCCCTCCTGCCCCTGGTGACAATATATATGGTTTGCCTTCCCRACTGCAATATCATTTTTGGAGGGGAAGGACCCACTCCCTCACTGTCCACTGATTGCCCTGCCTCCTCCAGGGCCTCATACCTGTTGGCCAGGGGTACCTAGTAGGGTGAGACGGGAGAAGGTTTTCTTCTAYGACCTCAAGTGTGGACTTTTATCCATATATTCCTGCACTGTTTTCTTTCTTTTTGTGTTGGCTGGGGGATGGAACCTGTTGAAACTTTTTGTKGGGCACTTCCTGGTGCCTGCTGCTGTTTCTCCCTGACTTACAGACACTCCTTAGCTTTTCAGCCTCCTCTTTTAGCTCAGCTACCATGCAGAGCAGGTCCTCCACCTGCTCACACCTCACACACTTGTCCCCCAT